TCCTGCTTGCATGATGTCAAATTGTTTTATGGTTTGTTATGTGCCTTCAAGTTGATTCTGACTTATGACTCTATCTTACTGTTTTCTTGGCAATATTTCTTCAGGAGGGTTTGCCATTACCTTTTTCTGAGGGTGAGAGAGCATGACTTGCCTAAGGTCACCCAGAAGATTTCCACAACTGAGCAGGGATGTGAATCCAGGTCTCTTAGGGTCAGTGTGTTGCAGTGGTTTGAATGTTGGACTAGGACATCGGAAGACCAGGGTTCGGATCCCTACTAAATTGTGGAAACCCATTGGGTGACATTAGGCAACTCACACTCTCACAGCCTCAGAGGCAAACCTCCCTCTGAACAAATCTTGATAAGAAAACCCTGCAATAGGTTCACCTTAGGGGCTCCATAAGTCTGAAATGAAGGCACACAGCAACAACTTCTTCTACAGTCCTAGTTCAACACTCAAACCACTACATCACACTGACTCTCACAGTGTAAATCTACACTCATACAGTTAAGTGATGGTTGCACTACAAGACTCTTTTGCTGAATACTGACTTTGGGCAACCAACAATGTATCTGCAAATGTGGCTGGTTGCTGGGCCATTGTGCAATGTGGGGATGCACATTGAATATTTTTGCAATTCCAGGGAATCAACTGGTACACTGAAAGCACTGATGGGTACTTGTACACCATCCAAGAATACACATCTGCAGGTGCAATGGTTGTATTTGTGGAGTTCTGAAAAACTCCTGAAAAATGCCCACCCAGCCTCTCTTTAAAGACCTCCAAAGACAGAGTCCACTACCTTCTTGGGCAGTCTATTTCGCTGTTAAACAGCTTTGACAATCAAGATATTCTTCCTAATGTTTAGGTGGAATCTCTTTTCTTATAATTTGAATCCATTGGTTCATGGTCTAGTCGGAATATTGACGTTATATTATGGCCCATAAAGTCCAAAGTGCAACTACATGCGTACCTTAGATATGCATAAAACACCGTCAGGATGCCAGGCACTAATGCTGTGCAACGTGGCGAGCAACGGGATCTACTTGTTTTCACTCTCGGCAATTCATCCGGCAAAATGACCCTTCTGTTTATTTAGTTTTGGCCCTGGGACCAGCCACATAATCAAGATGATCGTGTTGGTAGGCTTTGTTTTGGAAGCCTTGTCATCCCTTATCACCATCACACCCAACTATGAACAGATCGACGGCACAGATTAGCTTCTGGTGCCTCATTAACATCAATGGTTTAAATGAACATTGTTGGGGTTGTAATAGCATCTTCTCCCTGGAAGATCACTAGCACAGGGTTGAAATGTGTTTTCCAAAAAATTCCCTTCTTCATCCAGGAATACAGATATCACATAGTCCCACCTCCAATCCTTAGACCCCAACTAGAGTCAATTAGATTTGCCTACCCCATTGACTCACAATTGATTCAATGGGTCAACTCCAGTTGAAATAACCAGCAAAGTTGCAGCTAGATGGCACATAGGTCTAAATGAAATTATAAACTTCCACATTCGCTGGGGGTAGGAGCACAGGACCCCCGTGAATGTGGAAAAAATGCAAATAACAAGAATGCTATGTTTTACCTGAGAGAACACCTCTAGGAATTTCTAGGTCCTCCAGTGCAACTCTGTGGTCAGACATTGACCATAGGATTGCACTGGAGGAGCTACAAATGCCTAGCAGAGTGTTCTCTCTAGGA